TACGCTGAAAAACAGAGTTAATGCAAACATATTAGTTAAAGGAAAATGTAAAACAAAACAAAACAAAAAACCCACTTTTTAAAAACTCTGAAAATATTCTAGAAAAAAATGAGTCCTGGTGGGGAAAATAATTATAGCTGTCCATTCCTTTTTAGAAGTTAAGGCAAGGCGGACTTGAGCATTGAAAGTAATGGCCATAAAGGTAGCATGAACCAGGGAATTAAACTCTTAGCACCCGCCTACGCGGCAAAGAGCCTCCGTAAATATCCCACGTTTTTCTCCCCGAACCTTGGAGAAAGTCCCAGAATACAGGGGATACACTTCATCCTGGGTGCTTCCTCGCCAAGGGCTGAGCTTATTGCCTAGACAGTTACTGCAGCCATCTCCTCCCTCCATCCCCGAACTGCTATTAGGGACCCCGCCTCTCAACAGTTCTTCCTAGAAGGCTCGATGTTTCGTTTCCGCCTTTCCCTTTAACTATGTATGAACATTAGACACAAAGGGGCAAACACACTCTGAAAGAGCTGGGGAGAGGGGGAGGAGAGAAAACACACCATTTTTTCCATATCACAGTTCAGTCAGAAACTGCATCCGTACACTATGCTTAATATGCAGGTCCTGCCATGATGAGATTTCAGTTGAAGCCAAGACAAAGCACAGATGCAACAGGAGAATCCTAAAAAGCTCACCAACCATCCAAAAGAGCTGGAATGTTTGTCTCAAATCACATGAACCACAAAGACTGGAGCAACCGCTCTGGCCTCTAATGCATGAGAGGGTCCATAAAGATCTCTCTCCTGAAGCTGCCAGGGCCTCCCGAGCCCTGGGGTTGGATGCTCCAGTTTGGGGCTCCGGGATGTCACCGTGTACAGTGCTTACGAGGGTTAATATTTATTGATGGCTACGCCCCAGCTACAGGTGTAAGCACTGTGCTAACTCATTTATTTCACAAAACAACCAGCTGAGGTAGAAACTGTTCTCTCCCATTTACCAGGTGAGGGAACGGAAGCTGCAGGAGGTTGAGTAACTTTCTCAAAGACACACCGTGAGAGGAAGCAGCAGAGCCAGGGCACAAACTCAGGTGGTTGGCTCTAGAGTCTACACTTCTTCATCTGGGTCTCGTGGCTTTTGCCTGCACCTGTAAGTTCACTCCTGGGGCTCTCACCAGGTGGACACTGTATTCTTATGTGTATAGGTTTTTGCTCCACCCCGCCGTCCCTTTCACAAGGCAAACCGTGCCAGAAGCTCCTTCAAGCAATGAAGACACAGTTCCTCCCACCCTTTTATAAAATCCCTGGTCCATGGGCTTTTTTTTTTTTTTTAATTGAAAGAGATGGATTTCTTTTCTCTACCAATGTCCTTCTCTCTCTCTTCCCTAGGACAAAAAGTGTATGGGCTGAAAGAACAAATACACGACTAACAAGGGGAGCGGAGCAAAATAAAAAGCAGAGAAAGAATTAAGATTTTGTTGAAAGTAACTATAGTCATCAGGGAATTGTAAGTTAAAACCACAACGGAGACACCACTTCGCAACCACAGGATAGTCAAAATAAAAAATACAGATGACAACACATGTTGATGAGGATGTGGAGACACTGGAATCCTCATACACTGCAGGTGGGGATGTGAAATGGCCCAGGTGCTTTGGGAAACGAACTGGCAGTTCCTCGAAAAGTTAAACCATGTGTACTTTTTTTCAGAAATTTCACTCCTAGGTATGTACCCAAGAGAAATGTTCACACACAATTTGCACATGGATGTTCATAGAAGCATTATTCTTAATAACCCAAAAGTGAAAAGAACCTACACATCTATTAATTGATGAATAAACAAAAGGTGGTGTTTACATACAAAAGAATATTATTTGGCAAAGAGAAATGTAATACTGATACATTCTACAATATTGCTAGACCTTGAAAATATTATGCTAAGTGAAAGAAGACAGTTACACACACAAAAAAACCCCACAATATATTACATGACTCCGTTGATATGAAATGTTCAGAATAGGCAAATTATATTTAGAGGCATAAAGTGGATTACTGATTAACTAGAAGTTGGAGATTGGTTAGTAATGACAAGTAACTGCTAATGGATATAGGGTTTATTTTTGGAATTAGTGGTGAGGGTTGTAGTATGGAAAAGGCCATTAAATTATTTACTTTAAATGAGTAACTTGTAGGGTATGTGAATTGTACGGCAACAAAGCTGTCATACTTCAAATAAGATTTAAAACCTGGTTACAAAATAAAACCATTAGTCTATCCCAGGAGAATCTGTGTCTTTGTGAATGAGAAACCATAATTGCAGAAGTGACAGAAACCCCAAATCATTTAAGCAGGAAAGGGAATACATTCTAAAAGAACTGCTATATGGAAATGTGAAGGGGAAATGATTTCCATTTCATGGAATTCCGAGATAGTGGGTGTGTGGGAGTCATATCACCATAATGCATAAGTGTTACATGATGGGTTGCATAACTCTAAATTCAGACCTTTCCCTCACCTGAAAGCTATCAGTTCCAAAAATAAAGGATCTAGAGGAGGTGAGATAAAAAAAAAAAAAAAAAGGCTGATGATGTTAACTCTTTTGGGACTAAATTAAAAAGTTCACAAATGTAAGGCTTCTCTGCATCTGTGAACTTTTAATACTGAATCCCATGCTCACAAAAGAAGATCTGATTAGCACCTAAAATGTATTTCCTACAATGAATTTAGAAATCGGACTCAAATTTAACTAGAAAAATGAAAGCCTCGGGGAGCTAAGAGGGAGACACTGACAGCAGACTGGCACTGCTTGAGATTCAGGGAGAAGAATTTAAGGGTTTGCCAAGCTGCTGGGCTATGTATCTACTTATAATGGGACTTTAGCAGAAATCAATGCAATCTCTGAGTAAAGCAATCTCTGAGTAAAACGAATGCAGCGTCTCTTGGAGTGGCAATACATCAAACGGTACTAAGGAAGTTTCATGGCTATCAGAAGACGCAGCATTTACATGTTTTTCAAAAGAGAATAATTAGATAGTAGAGAATTTCCTTCGCATTGTTTAGTCTCTAACTTTCAAACTATTACCAAGTCCTTTACTCCCACGAGGTCTTAATCAAGCATCGTTTGTGTAGAAAATCAGCTTACTGCTTTCTTTAAAAACAGGCGAGCCATTAATTGATCCAATGTGTTGGCAGTTCTGGCAGAACCTTTTTAGACAGGAACAAATGATGCCTCTTAGTCTGTGTTCCAAGAAGCCAAGTTTAAGATTTCATGCATATGCACAAAGAAACATTGAAAGAATCCTGCAAAGTCAGCCAACAATCTTGGCATTTAATGGAAAGAAATTTTAAAAAAAATCTCCCTCCCACCACCCTGCCAGTTGAAATTAAGATATTAAATATGTTTACTTAAAGATACTTTACATGACTTAGAGTGCTCTTCCAAAGTCCTCCAAATCCTTGAATATCATACTTTAAGTAATGCTCTTATGACTCAGGTCAGAATGCAATCTTTCCCCCTACAAAACTGTTGAGCGTGAGAAAGCACATCATATGTTCCTATTTGCACTGTTGTAACTTTTCTAAGTTTACTGCCTCCCCGCCTCTTCATTAATCACTGCACTGCATTTTTCTGGCCTAGGTGTTAGGGGCATTGCTGTCCACACCTGTTTTTGCTACGGTTGACCACTTCCTCTTCTAAAAACAGCTAGTGATGATGACCCTCTGGTAATAAAAAAACCAATTAGATTTTTCACTAATAGGTGACAAGAGATCTTGGAATGAAAACTTGACCCCAAAGAATGCACCCCTCCCTGGCCCCAATGTGACCAAAGCTTGGTGTTCCATTTCAATAGTATAAGTGCTTATTAGTATCTGGCTTTTAAGGAAAACAATGTTTTGTGGTGTTTTTTGGTGTGTTTTTTGGTGTGTTTTTTTGTTTAAGTGACTCCAGTCAGAAAATGCACCTGTCATTTCTATTCCTTTCTCCCTATGGATGTCACAGCCTCCCCCCAGGAACTCCTCTGTGGAAGGAGGCGCACAGGAACAGGTAGCGCCCTGGACTCCGGGGTTCTGCTAAATGGAGCTGCTTATGCTGGCAAGCCTGAGAGGACTTCTTGTTCTTCCTGCCACCCAAGCACTGCTGTGTCAGTCGGGGCTAAATCGCCAGTTCCAGGGCAGTCACCTCTTTCTAGTTCCGGCACTCTGCGATCATTAAGAAAAGCCTAGCCTTTCTCTCCTGAAATCCTCTTATTGCCACAAACATAGTTAACCTCCCAATCAAGCAAAGGACAATGCAATACTGCAAAAAAAGTAGACATAACTTTATGGCCACCATGTCTTCCTGGGCTTGGGGAGGATAGTTATTTACCACCATGCCCGCCTGTCAGCTTCTCCGCATGACAGCCTGACAGAGCACAAGGCTTTTAACATCATGTTTGATGAGCCAGCCGGAGTGTGTGTGTGTGTGTGTGTGTGTGTGTGTGTGTGTGTGTGTTGCCCAGTCTCCCCAGAAGCACTGAAACCTGACTTGAGACGCTAGTTCTCAGAGGAGACAAGCTGGAGCTGCTGGAGCCAGTAACCCTACCCACCTCCTGATGCACGAATGCGAGTATACCTGATGCACCCAGCGAGCAGCAGAGCCCAGTTATCAGATCTACCCCATTGCACACAGGTGCTGGGCGTCCCTCCCCAGGGACAATGCCTGAGTTCTGCCCCTGAACTGCACCTTTCGGTTCAGAGAAAGTAGGCCACCTCCGCGACCCTCGTCCCAGCGGCTCTCATCAAAACCGATCACACACACACACTCCCCAGGTCCCCCCAATCCAGTTCACCCTTGTTCTTTGTAACCCCCACAAAGTGAGGACGCACAGCGAAACTTAGTAGGTCCAGGGAACAGAGACGCGTCTTTGCAGAGCACAGACTTCCCAGCACGGCGCTGGGAGACAGGCGCAGGCCCACCGCCTCCATCCCCGGGACTCCCCCCACCCCGCGCCGCCGGGGCGCTCAGCTCACCTGGGTGGGCCATGGTGATGGTCTCGTTGGCGCTGGCGCCCACGTTGAAGATGACCACGGCCGAGGCGTTCTGCAGGAAGGCGTTCCGGATCTTTTCCCTGTACGAGCAGTTGCCCTTGGGGATGAGGGCGATCCAGTTCCTGCCGTGGGCCGGGGCGGCGAACTTGGTGCCGGGGTCGCAGGCCAGGCGGTCGTGGGCCGCGCTGGCCATGACCACCTCGCCGCGGGCGTCCTGCTTGGGCGAGTGCTCGCCGTAGCGGCCGCACTCGGTCTTCTCGGTGTGCAGCTCGGCGCCGCCGCCCCCCGCCCCGGGCTCCGGCGGCGGCTCGGCGTAGGTGATGTTCACGAAGGCGGTGTACCATTCCTCCTTCTCGGCCACGGTGAAGTCCAGGCAGAGCAGATGCACGAAACAAAAGGAAAGCAGCCATGTTGAGAGAGCCAGGCTGCGGCACGCTCGGATGAGAGACATGGCCATCTTCATCCGCCGCCGGGGCCCCCTCCCCGGCCCCCCGCGCCCTCCTCCGGCCCCGTCCCTCCTCCCCCGCCCGGCCAACCCCGGGCCGGCTGCCTCCTCCTCCGGCTCCGGCTCCGGCTCCGGCTGCTGTTCACTCCCGAGCGCCGGGGGCCGCGGCCGGGACGCGCAGCCGCCGCCGCGGGCAGCGGATTCCGAGCGGGTGGGTGGCGCCCGCCCCTTCCCCTCTCAGCCCGAGCGCGGCGGCTGCATGTCGCTGCCCGGGCGCCGGAGGAGGGAGCGGGAGGAGGGGGCGCTCCGGGCTTGCAGAGGAGTCCAGTTGTTGCCGAGCCTCCTGCTCCTTCGCTGGGCTTCTGCTCTCATAGGGGTGGCAGGGGGCCCGGGAGCGAGCGGGGGGTCGGCTGGGCGCCCTCCAGCCCCGGCGCAGGCGGGCGCGGCTGCCGGGAGCGCGGGGTGCAGCCCGGGGTGCCCCGGCCGCCGCTCCTCTGCGCGCCGCTCCCTCGCGCTGCGGGCGCTCCGCTCGGGCTCCGCGCTCCACGGGCAGCCACACGCCGGACACTCTGGCCGAGGGAGAGCCCGGCTCCTGGGGAGTGGGTGCGAGCGGGCAGAGAGAAGGACTCGGTCTCTGTGTCCGTATAAGGGGTATGTGGTGTGTGTGTGTGTGTGTGTGCGTGTGTGTGTGTGCGTGTGTGTGTGTGTGTGTGTGTGTGTGTGTGTGTGATGTGTGCGTGCAAGGAGGGGCTTAGTGTGATGTCAAAGATTCGAGGCTTCGCTTTGCCAAGCTCTCTATGGGCAGCAGCGACCCCTGCTGGGTTTCAGATTCAACTCCGTACTCGATTTGGATCATTAGAGGAAAAAAAAACAACACAAAAACGGATGCGCCTCCTTGACCTATGCGTATAAGGGGACGACTTTCTGCACCTTATATACAGCGGTGTGTGTGTGTGTGTGTGTGTGTGTGTGTGTGTGTGTGGTCATCAGCCTTCTCATTCGCAGGAGCAACTGCAGTGAGCTCCCTAATTACCCATCCGAGGGCCACAAGGAAAGGCCCACTGGTGGGGAGGTCCTTCCCACCCTCGCCTGGAAGATCTAGGGCAGTGACCCTCAGATGGAAGTGTGCATCAGCATCACCTAGGGTTTGTTAAAATTCAGACCGACGGGTTCTGACACAGACTTTCTGATTTAGCACATCCCGGGTGGGGCTCCAGACAGCATGAGTCTTTCTAACAAATTCCCACCCAGGTGGCGCTGCTGGTCTGGGGGCCACTCTATGCAGGTGAGCACAGGAATGGGCTTCTTTCCTTGCTTCTGGAAGCAAATGCGTGATGACACTTGTTTTCTTGCAGAATGAGTGTTTCCAATTCTACAAGAAGAGAAGCTGGGTGCAATGTTTCTTCACTGTTTATTCTGGTTGTCAGGGCGGGGAACAGAGGACTCACGGCCGCAATAGGCTAGGGAGGTCTGCGTGGGTTAGTTGTGCAGAGAGATCACAACCCGTCAGGGGAGAGGGCATCCCCTCTAGAGTAGTGTCCTTCAAACTGTGACACAGCACAATTCCCTCCAAATTAAATGTTTGATTATTTTCCTTTTACACCAACAGTTTCCTTGACTTGAGAGAGGTGCCATATGAAGTATCTAAACCAATTTGCACTGCGGTTCTCAATGGCTCCCATTGTACTTCCCACCTGGCGCTTTTTCAGACAACCCAGGACCCAATTCACATGCAAATAAAAGTGTCCCTTTCCCCCAGGACCTTAGTAGTTTCCAGGTTTCTGTTAAAGACCTTTCACCAGCAGCTTCTCTTTATCCAGCAATACTGCAAATAGCTGGTAGCTACATCTAAATTAGAAGCAGGCACAAAAAAAGAATTACTAAGAAGAATTTGTCTCTGTGGTATTTGATGTGCTGGATTTGTGTGTTTTCACTTTAGAAAATAGGCTTCTAGGCAACTGGGACAGTGCTTTTTATAGAGCCGGATGCCGCAGGCAGAAGTGGAGACTGCCTGATTCCCCAACCACCACCGAGATGAGGGAGGGGACCATTGGCTCCCCCTGCTCCTCCTCAGCCCCAACTATTAATAGTTCTGTGCAGATACCATCTACCATCGCAAACCAAGGTGGCTCCCCAAACCTCTCTCTGTCTTAGCAATCCTTCCCCAGCCACAACACTGGAGGAGTCTGTTGTGCATTAAGAATGCACAACAAATCAACAAACGATGTGCAGAAAAAGGGAACCCTCCTGCACTGCTGGTGGGAATGCAGGCTGGTGCAGCCACTGTGGAAGACAGAGTCTCCTCAGAAAGTTAAAAATAGAACTCCCATTTGACCCAGTAATCCCACTTCTAGGAATATATCCCCAAAAACCAGAAACATCAATCAGAAAGAATATATGTGCACCCCATGTGTTCATAGCAGCACAATTTACCATAGCTAACTAACACTTGGAAACAGCCTAAATGGTCATCAGCAGATGAGTGGATTAAAAAACTGGTACATCTACACAATGGAATATTAAGCCACTATAAAATAAAAAGAAGGAATTTTTACCATTTGCAACAGCATGGATGGAAATGGAGAGCATTATGCTAAGTGAAATAAGCCAATCAGAGAAAGATAAATCAAATATACACACATATACGTATCTATACATACATATATACACCATATCTAATCTCAGAGGCTAGAAGTAATAGATACATCAAGTGGCCAGAGGATCTTGGCTTCTAAGTGCCATAAGCTTTTAAAGGGAACGAGGGCTGATTCCAGGGCTTGGACTGGGAAAGTGCAAAGTAAGCTTGGAGGGAAGTGCTCAGAGCATGATGAGAGCATGCCAAAAGGACACATAAGCCAGCTTGATGAGGCTCCCACTGGCCAAATCGGAGACAATTTGAGCATCAAAATAAAGAATGATAGTAACTGATTCTAACCCATGGGCTAAAAGAAGAATCCATGAATCCATGCTAATACAAAGGGATAAAGAAATAATGATAGAATAAATAAATAAATGGAAAAGGAAGGATATCTCTTCCTTGTGGAAGATGTCAACTAAGATGGTGGAGATAGAATGTCACCCCTTGACAATGTTATTTGACGTAGGCAGGAGTCCTTAGTGGGTGCTAAGGTGGGTGAGTGGGTGTGTGGATGCTTGATGTGAAGAAAGATATAGCCTACTCTTAAAGTAGCTTCTGAAAAGTGCTTATTGATGACAAGATGGGAAATGGTTAATTTACTGAAGAGAACCCTGGGAGACAGCAAATTGACCAAGTGATCAAGATAAGCATAGCCAGCAGGAAAACTGGTCATGTCACGTGCTTCCTGTTGTGATATGCGGAGGAGAGCATGGCATCTTTTCTGTCACATTTCTGCTAAGAATGCCTGGGTCTGGACTTAGGAAACCTTTCAATGGGCCCAGAATGAGAGGCATCCCACAAAACAAAAGGTCTGTGTTCTTTAAAACTCTTATAGCTTATGAGAGACAGAGAAAGATGTGAGAACCAATCAATCCAAATTAAAGGAGCCTTAAGAGTTGTGACAACTAAAGGCAACAAATGATGCTGTACTGGCTGCTGGTCCAGACAGGAAAAACAAACAGTTTATTTTTCTGACCTGGATGTCCACACTATGTAGAATGTTCTTGTGTGGGAATATTGCCCTTAAACAAGGATGGCCATAGAAGGCTCGCGAAATCATTTGGCCTGGCCCTGCCAAAGCATTAGGGCTGATTTAATTAAATAGAACAAATAGAACAGGCTGATTTTTAAGTGAATAATTTTTGTATGGCCCATGAATAATGTTATAAATATCCAAATGGCCCTTGACAGAAAAAAGGTTCCCTACCCTGCCCTAAAGTATTTAGTAGTGATGAGATATTCTGTCTGTACCTTGTTTTCAAGTGTTTCAGGAAAAAAAATAATGATAATCTGTAAGATCTTGGTTTCTACTACTCATTACTTCAGTGAAGCTGAAATCTAATTCATGATAAAATAGAAAGTCAAACGCCCATTATTTGGGGCCGGGGAGGAGGGAAGAGAGAGGTGGGGAATATTAATCTATTGCCACCTTTATGCTAATCATTTTCTTCCAGCACAACTGCTCCTTCGCTCCAGTAGCTTCACTTGAACCAATGAGCTGGGTATTCCAGAGGGAATAAAATGAATAAGGTTCTCCTTTTCATGGAGTTTACATTCTGAGGTGGGAGAAGTCAGAAAAAAAAATTAAGTTTTAGATTATGTCAGAAAGTGGTATTTAGACCAAGGCATCAGGCTGAGGGAGGGGAACCTATGTACACTAATAAAAGAGAAAAATGCTAATTGACAGTACCTTTGCTATGCCCACAGCCAATCAGAGTGAGTATGCAAATTAACCCAACAAAGATTAGTTTGCATATGCTGAGGGAGGGAGGAGTGAAGACTGAAGACAGTTTAGAAGGAAGAGGGAGGAAAAGCAGAAAGCAAGGAGGCTGCCAGAGGGAAAGCACAGGCAGAGTAGGGCAGGAGGCAGCTGTGGAGGCAGTGTACATGGCCACAGCGGCCACTTGCAGGAATCTTCCTGCAAACAGGCTCCTAGGGTTATATAAGGTGCTATTGTACATCAGGATCAGCTGCTCTGATGAGGTGACTTCAGAACAGATTCCTGAAAGAAGGGAGGAGATCCAAGTGTATGTTTGGGGGCCTGGTTGTACCACGAAGAGGAAACCATACATGCAGTGGCCTTGAGGTAAGTTTGTGCTTATTGTGTTTGAAGAACAGCAAAGAAACCATGGAGGATGGAGAGGTGTCAGAGAAAAAGTGAAGCAGATGAGATTGAGGGGGTGGGGTGGAGAGCCCATGGAGCCTTATAGTCCAGGGTGACAATATTTTGGCTTTTATTCTGAGTGAGAGGAAAAACCTTTGGAGAGGATTTTTCCTTAAGGAGTGAAGTGACACAGTTTTAAAAGTTTATTCTGATGGTATTGGAGATGGTTCGGAAGCAAGGAGAACAATCATGAGCTATAACCATAATCTGGAAATC